TCTCCTACTTCTTGCTGTCTACTTTACTCTACAGTCAACGAACAAGACAGAATTCTATGGCAGGTCAAACTTCAACACTAGCCAATTAAACTCAGTAAAGTACTATATAGAAAACAGACATAAACACATATATAGAACTGCCAAGTACAAACACAAGTGGAACTTGGAAGCCACCAACCTGGAAGATCACCAAATCTTTTTGYTGGGTACAGAATAGCTTTAGTATCCATCATCTGCCAGAGAGATAAAAAAGGAAACAAAAAATGCCATCCATTAGTACTTTGTAATATAAACTGTTTGTCAAACTCATGAAATCTGCAACATCAACTCAGTGACATCTCAGCACAACTTGAAGTACTTCGCAAGTTTAAGCACAGATTCATACAAAGTCATAAATATACAGGAAGTTACCCATTGGTATCATGATATGTCTCCAAAGATTTCGAATAAACAAATAAAAAAAAAGAAAAAAAGGGAAAAAACTCAGCTAAGCAAGCAAATAGTATAGGCTAATCCACAAGATTAAGTGCCACACATAGTTAACTGCAAGGTGATTTTGTATTGAATAACTAAAGTTGGGATAACAAGATGAATAAGGCTTTGCTTTGGAAAAACAAAAGAAGAGTCAGAAAGGTGTTAAGCAACATTGCCAGCAAGCCTCTCTCTGGCTTAGTGAGTATAAGAGATTCAGCTAAAGCAAAAATCTTAACCCTGCTTAAGGGATATACTTAAAGCATCCCACAGTCACAAGATAATTGTGCTTGACTGTGACTTCCAAGTCACTCCCTATGAACCAAGCCATATCACTAGAAAGACTAGCACGAATATTTGGTTAAAAGCTTTAGTCCAAGCAATTTTCATCCATCCAAATTTAAAGTTGATTCTTAGAGTCAGAAACTTCATCATAACTAATTCGCTGAAAGCATGCCGAACATAGCCTTAATCTTCGAAAACAACTTTTCCATTCAGGCTCCCAGTTCCTCTAAGAAGTTGCAGACTTGCAAACGAGTATACTACAGGTGGTCCACTAAGGACTCAGTTTTCCACTAGCTTAGTATATTTATACATACATATGTATTTCTTTCACCTCTTCTCAGTTTTTCCCTTATTTTCTCTTGGAATGAATAAAAGGATTTGGGTCATCTTCCAATTTTCCCTTTTTTCTTGGAAATGGTAAGTTTCATTAATTAATAATGATAAACAGTAACAAGCACCCTAAAAAGGAAGTGCTAACCCGCCACAAATACGAAAAAAAAAAAAAAAAACTCAGCCCTGGTTGACCCCAGTTTAGCTAAGCCATCAGCCAGGCCATTAGTTGATCTTCTAACAATTAAATTTTACATCAACCTCCCTTGCCAGCCAGCATATTTCTCCCATTGCTTGTCTATAGGTCTAGACCCCAAAACTGCCTCCATGCATCCATTCAATTACCAATTTTGAATCCCCTTCTTCAATCCGGTGGAGACCCAATTGATTTCTCAATCTCAATGAACCTCCCATCCCTATTGGCCCCTAATGAACCTCCCACCCCTATTGGCCCTAATGAACCTCCCATCCCTATTGGCCACAAAAAGAGGGCTAAGAGTCTTCCTTCTGTGTCTTGTATGGCTCCTCCTGTTCCAGATGGCCCCGGGCTGCCAAGTAAGCTCCCATCAAAATTTAGCTTAACCCTTTGCTGTGCAGAGGGTGCCCATTCTTCTTGTACTTCAGGTTTGTACCTTGAAGAAATTGCTAACTTAATAGTGATGCTGTCAATTTTCTCTTTCCCCAATAAAAATTATTTAATGGCACTGATTAAAATAACAACAACGAGGAGAACACAGGCAGCGAGCCAATAACTACATTAAACAATGGGAACAAGGTTTAGAATCGATATAGTCCAATTTGCCAGACAAGGCATATCAGACTTTAATATCATGTGCTTTTTTTTTGTTTTTTTTCTTAAAAAACAGGTTCAGGGGGTCAGTATAAGGCATGGCTACCCCATGAAAGAGTTCTTACCCCGAAACTCCCTGTATTTCGTGTATCGGTGGGTCACTGATACGATATGTTTTGGCCAATACAGGTCAATAGACAATACGTTGAAAAACTTTGATCCTTGAATAGGAATAATGAAGATTTTCAAGTACATCGTGTTGTATCTTACCTTTGTCAGTGCCTTCAAATCAGGTCTTTTGGAAGACCGTTTATTTTCCTCTTCCAATGCTTTCCTCTTCTGCACAAAATGACAAGAGCATACAGTATTAATGAGCATATCTGTAAACATTAGGACTCCTTACAGACCAGTAAAACTGGAAAAGAGATAACTATAAAGTAAACCTGTCTTCCCATTCAAAAAAATAACAAGTAAACCAACCTTTATTGCAGCAGGGTTTACAAGCATTTATTGTAATTGAAAGGAAAGAAACAAGCGGAAAAGAATTACATAAACTTATTTTCAACATCAGTGCCAAATCCAGCACTCCGACAACTTTCTAATATGATATCATTAAAAAATGTGATAATGTCAAAGTGCTTCAGAGCTATGCTACCTGGATGGGTTAAAGTATTGAATATTTTGAGTAATCATTTGATGATAGAAAAAAATAAAATGAAAAAAGATTGCTTCTATTTTAATTAAAAAAGGGTACAACTGCATTTGTTATCAAGTTATATTCCAATTTGATTTTAATATCAAAACAATTAATAACTACATGAAAACTTGACCATGTAATACACAACAACCTGATCTCAAAAAAAAACCAAAAAAAAAAAAATAATCACATAAGGGAGTAAATATAATTATGATTCTAGAAGAAACTAACAACCTATAACAATGTAGGACACTAAATCACCTGAAATGCTTCTGTATGGTTTCCATTAAAAGAAAAAAGAAACAAGAATATGCATTTATGAATATACATTTGTGASCATGGATAAATGTATACTATATGTGAGCACTTCTTCATTTATGTTGTATATGAAGTTCATTTTATATTGCTGATGACATAGTATTAATTGATGAAATTAGCAAAGGATTAAATGCAAAATTAGGTGCATGGACAACTGCATTAGAAACAATAGGTTTCAAAATAAGTGGGGCTAAAACTGAATATATACAATGTAAATCTAATAATAATAAGAGTGCAAACCAGGGTACACTTAGGATTGGAGACAGAGATAACTCAAATGTAACCTCTTCCATTACCTTGGTTCAATAAATCATAACAAAGGAAAGATTGAGAAGGATGTAACCCATAGAATTAGAGCATGATGGGCAAAATGGAGGGATGCATCCAGATTCTTATGTGATAAGTGAAATCACTTCAGCTAAAAGGAAAGTTTTATAAAAAAATCATAATGCCAGCTATGTTGTATGGAACAAAGTGTTTGGCAGTTAAGAAACAGCATATCCAAAAAAAAATGTGTGGCAGAAATTCAAAAAGCCTAGATGGATGAGTTGTAAAACTAGAAAGAACAAGATCAGAAATAAAGTTATATGAAGGAACCAAAGAGAAGCTCCAATAGGTGAAGATTGAGATGGCTTGGTTGCATGCAAAGAAGACCATCTACAGCACCTTAGAAAATATGATCTGTTACAATTTGAAGAAGCTAAAAAATCCAGGGGTAGCCGAAAAGGACTTGGGTGGAAGTAATAAGAAAATATTTAAGCACCCATAATTCATGTAGCCAACTCCATATAGTTTGGACAAGACTTAAGAAATGCATGAYTTGAGGACACTCAAGAAGTTCACATAAGCAGAAACTAAAAGAAAACTCATATAAAGAAAATTGATTAATCATTAGCCCATAGAAGACTTAATATGGTGATAAATTATAAGAGGTGAGGTTTTATTTTAAAAAAAAAAACATGAGAACGCATGGTCAAAGTTCAAGCTTACAATATAGTGACAGACACTCACACAATATAAAAACAAACCAATGGCCCGGAATGGGAAGAAAATCATATTTTTCACTTAAAATAAATTGAAAGAAAGAAAAGCTAAAAATGCAAATCAAATTTAGGCAGCAATGATAAAATCAACATACACAAACAAAAAAATAAGCTCCAGTAGCAAGGGGAGAAAAAGGAAGGGGGGACATGACATTCTAACCTGAGATTTTGTGCCATGGTCAGCTTTCAGATCATTGGCTTCAACTTTCTTGCACCTCTTTTCCTCCTCCTATGCAAAATTAAAAATTGGTCAGTTTTTGCTTCCATCAAATTATGAAATTAATAAAGGTAACACTCCCGTTGCCGTATAGGAAACCACCATCAAAATCATCATTAATCCCTAATTCTGGCTCATTGTACAGGAATCAGGTTCCTGGTGCCAGTTCCCAGTTTTTTTAATCCAAAGGACGCACGACCTTTTTCTGATGACTGAATGTTTGATGTTAACTACTTGTAATGTACATGTTAGCAAATGCTATCATATGTAGCACAAGTTTTTATGCATATCTTGCAATGTGCATGTAATATGAAAAATGTATATAAGGGGGAACCCCTGCCATTGAAAACTCCAAAGATATCGGAAATTCAGAAAAACAGCATCAGTTGGCCCTTACTAAAGAAATAATAAGCAAAGTAAAATTACTCTCCCAGCTGAAAACCTGGGCCAGGTGCCCCCTTTTAGGGCATATCTTCCCATTGGTTGATTGAGAAACCCATCTAAATGAGCTTGTCAAGCTTCTTGCTAAGACTTTTTCTTATCTCATATGTAATATTAGTATACATCTCTTCACTTGAGAAAATTTCTCTCTCTTTGGTTGCAGGTTGAATCCCTATTTCATGTGGAAGTTTATTCAAATCTTCATGGTTCATCCCACCAAGAAAGAAAGGGAAAACAATGTGGAGGAGGTGTGGTAGAACTGCAGTCTTCTGGACAATATGGGAAGAAAGAAATAGAAGAATCTTCAAAGGAAAAGAACTGAAAAAAAAGAGGCAATAATAGAATCCAAATTAGTGAAGGTATTATGTTGGATTAAGACTTCGGACATGTTTACCATACTTTCTAGAAAATGATATTATTAGGTGGCAGCCTATTTGTTGTAACCAAGTTGTAGTTAGTTTAGAAAATGTAGATTAAACATAAAAAACAAAGTTGTAGTTAGTTTCTGAAGCCTGCTTATTTGTTGTAACCAAGGATCCTTTACTGATTCTTTACTATGTTTACTTGGGTACCTCTATGCGGGTGTCAGTGTGTCACATAATGGCAGACACTACTTTTAGTGAAAATTTCATTAAGACACCTTCACTAGCCATGCCCTTGTCATATACGAGGAACATGATTCACTTTGGATGTCAAATCTCTCATCTCCATTTGTATTCTTTATAGTAAATTCTAGTATTATATTTTTCTATTTCTTTTCATTGTCCCTAATTATTCCATGTATTTCCTGCTTCTGTATTTAATCTTATCTCTGTTATTTTTCCAAGATTTCAGCATTTTTGTATGAAGATCCCATTCAGGTTACCCTGAAAAGGAAACATGGGACCCCAAAATCCTGATATTTCCATCGTAATTTTGAAGTATTGATTGGCAGTTGATGGAGCCCACATCATCCTTAGACTCAATGGATATCTTACACTTCAAATTGTGGTTTTTCCTGAACTTGTTATTCTCAGTAGTAACATCTACTACAATAGTAGCATGATTGGCAGCTATAATCAAGCGAGGTGCATGAGAGCTAAACGTCTGGCAAAATCAAGTGGGATGCATTGAAGCGTTTTAGATTTCAAAGCATTTTGCTTTAATTGCGACAAAGCCCAATACCTTTTWGACCCCCATTTCCCTCCGACTGAATCAGAACAATCAAGGCAACGTATGAAGTAATGTTTAATTTCAATTGACTGCCAAATAATCAATTGGCTTTGACCTGTAGCTTTCTTCTGCGTGTATCAGAACAAATGGGGCAATATAGGAAAACAATGCTTAGCTCTGTCGAACAGAAAGGTGCATTATCATATGCGTTGTAATGCTCCGAACAATGACAGCAATGACAACGATAACATATATATCCCTGGTTCCATGAAAATGAATGGATGACCAAATAACCTACCGGAATTGCAAACTTTCCACAACAAATGGTATATTAGTTATGTGAAACTCACCTGAACAAAGTGAAGGTAATGTGAATTAAAAGTTCTCAAAGTTTCCTTCACCCTAGCATAGGCACTTTTCTCTTGAGCACCTGTTAGACCTGGATCGACCGAATCTACACACTGAACACCAGAAGGACCCAGTGGAGCAGGAATTTCACAACCATTCTCTTGTGCCTGTTCATCGCCTATGTTTGTCAAACGTCCTCTCCTTTCGTAAACTTTGGTTTTTCTCTTTCCAACTTTATCTTTTACAGGATCCAACGATTCCTTTTCCGGAGTACTGCAATAAGAAGGTATTCTACTTTTATCCCGGTTTTGAAGCCTTGGACTGAACCTCCTCTCCACTGAAGCTTTCTCGGATACTGTTTTTTGAACTCTCTGCGCAACACCTCTTGTCACTGTAACGACAGCCGCTTTATCTTCCATTTCCTCATCGCTCGGAGACMTTCTAGATGTCAAACGACTGTCTTTATTGTTATTGGAATATCCCGAAGGAGGAATTGATTGGACATCCATTACTTGTAAACTTTATATGAGGATTGAAAAAAAAAACAGACCTTGATTAATCAAACTCTATAGATCCGTGCAACAAATAGAATACCGGCAAAACTCTCAATCAATCTCGAGTTTCAAATCCATGTGGAATAAGTTCCGCCAGCTTTCATTTCAAATTTTTATCGTCTAAATCCGGTGAACATTGCGTGAAAGAGTCGTGGATTGGATGGAAACTAGGGTTTCGGAGATGATACTGGCGAAAAAATAAAGACGGAGATGTGTGTATAGTGAAAGTGACGCATCATTTTTATTCGAATAGCGAATGCCTCCCACCCTCCGGCGGGAAAAACATTTTAGGACAGCGTTGTGGGTTGTGTTGTTGTTGTATGACTTGTATCAATGGACATAGTTGCAAATTTCTCGACCGCACTCTAAACCCTATGCGGACGAGATGCGGCTTTCGCGACGGGATTCCTTGGTAGAAGCAAAAATTTTGCACATACTCTGAAAGCATGCTAATTAAACCATACATTGAGATCATGTACATGAATTAAACATGCATGTACGAAGATATTCCCAGTATGCGGCTGGATGCTGCGTGCGTAGAAACTTTACAGTAGATCCGGCCTCTCTAAAATGCAAATAAACGTTATGGCCTTAGGGACATGACGGACATTTACATGCCTCTGCCCGCTCGGAAAATAAAAAAAAAAAAAAACCGTTTATTTCTAGAAGCAGGAAGAGGCTGTTAAAACTCAAGCCACCCATGTTCAATTCAAAATTTTTCACCGGCCTATTGTATTCCCCGTTTCCCCCTCAATCTCAGATAAAAGGAAAAACTCATACGACCATTCTAACGGTCAGAAGTTCAAAATCACGGCAATTCAAAAAATTAAAAATATAATATATATATATATATATATATATATATAACACGATCGACCATTGGCTCGCCAGGGCGCGAGCAGTCTCCTCGAACGGCCTGCCCGTGTGCTCATCGATTCATTGGGGCCCTTTGATAACGGATGAAGTTGATGAACCGGAAGGCAGACCTACCCCGAGGCTTGCGTTATTGCGTAGTCTTACCAAAAAACCTTAATTGCTTTATCTCTACGTGATAAAATAATAGGGAAATCTATTATGCCAGAAATACATGATACGGGAAGAGTTTTAATCAATTAAAATTCATGGAGGCAAGTGTTCCCCGGATTTCACTTGCGAGGGTATCAAATTCGCAATTTCCATGGATTTCTCTCATACTATTTTTGAATGTGATAATGAATCAATTATCAAATTTTTGTTTGAGAAAAACTCTCATCCTCCTTTAACTATTATTATTTTCTTATCTAGTTGTAGAAGTCTTCTCAATCACCTTGATGGTTTTTCAGTTACTTTTATTCCAAGATCTGATAATCAGGTAGTTCACCACATAGCCAAAACCTAGTCCTCTATTTATGAATTTATTTAATTCTTCTGTGTTGATTAAGGATTTAACTGAAATTGAAAGTTGAACGAAATTGCTTAAAGGCTTTCAAAAAAAAAAAAAAAGTGAAATTCTACTCTTCTAGCATTCTTGTGCAATACACGCTATTAAGGTAAAAAGAGAGGTGAGAGTGAGAGTGTGTTATAGGTGTGTGGATAAGTTAATTACCTACCTTCCAAGAGGATAGTGGGCAATTGATGCCCTCCCGTATCTTGACTTACCATGAGATTCAACACAGTGGCATACAAACGTAGGGATTATGATCAATTGCCTATTTTACCAATTTAGCCCCTACTGAATGGCAAATGAATGGAGCTTGAAGGTATAATGATTTATCCAATTTCATCAGCAGCTCACAACCTTGAAAACTTATTCACTAACAGCATTTTCTTTTCTTCTCAACCTCTTTAAAAACCTACCTTCACAAAACTGCAAACCATTTTCTTTTACCAAAAGAAAGAAAACTCAACGTTTTTTTTTTTTTTTTTTTNTAAGTATTTTTTTGTTTTTTATTTATTTATGAAGTCATGGGTGTTCGACCTGGACGGTTGAACCGCCGAACCAGAAAACGGTGCCCTAACCGGTTCGGCCACCGGTTTGGTTTTAAAAATCATGGTAATTTCACATTTCACATGGTGTATTTATCATCAAAAACTTTAAAAATGTCACTATAATGTATTATTTTACACTAGTTCATTCACCTTATACTTCATACGTACATTAAAGTTTGCCCAATATGATTTCCTATTTAATATCTTCATAGTTTAAAAATTTAGAGTGAATTTTTGTTATATTTTATATCTAAATACGTGCATGATAATATTATATATATTTTGAAATTTTGAATATGTATATCATATCATATATAAAATTAGGCTTTTCTACAAGTTATGCTTTTTTTGTATTGGTGTGGGGTGCCAAACACCATTAATAACCCCCCTTTCTCCTAATTGGTGGTTGTGGGAATCAATTTCATGTTAATATCGGTATGGCGCAGCTAGGAATTTTCTTTTTTTTTTTTCAGGGGGAGGGGGGAGTTAAACAAGAAAATGAGATAGGGTAGGGTTTGGAGAGAAATGGGGCAGAAAGGTTCAGATCTATTATAGATTTTTAAAGATAAATAAACAAAAAAAAATTTAGGAGTTGGAAGAATATTACAGAATGATCCTTAAAGTTTTTTTTTTTTGAGGGGGGAGGGGAAGGACACATTTAATCACATTTCTGACCCTACCTCTAGCTTTAGGGGTGAGCAAAAAAACCGAAAAATCGACTGAACCAAACTGAAAATTCAGTTAACCAAACCGATCGGTTTGATTTTGGTTAACCAAAATAGAAAACCGGCGGTTAACCGAACCAACTAGTATACATATATTTATATTATATATAAATTTATATAAATTATATTTTCTATACATTATAAATTAATAAATATGCATTATATATTTATAATAATACAATTTATTACTTATTATTTAAAACATAATATTATATATATTTCTAGTATTTTATTATAAATTTATATATTTTTCTATAATGAAAATTATAAATAATAAAAAATAAAAAATTGACAAACCRAACCAACGGTTAACCGAACTGGTCAACCGATCGACTTCAATTCGATTTCAATTACCAATTTTCCAAAAACCAGTAACCCCAATTTGGTTTCAAAAATTAACCCGCGGTTCGGTTAGCATCCCTACCTGCCTCCACTTATATATAGAATGGTTTTAACAAATTTTGGGGGGCCAAAGATCCCCACAAATATACTTGGCTCCAACCGTGTGTTTTGTTCATCTGCCCAATAAGGGGTGTATGTGTCAGTTTTACTTCCCAATAAAAAATATTAACAAGAGTCGGGACATTTCAAGTGTTTTTAATATTATCATTTAATGTAATAAATAAAGGTTAAACAAAATGAACCGAAAATGAATGGAATGAAGATACAACTTCAACCAACGACAATTTAGTGAAAATTGTCGTATGACACATTAGTTGCACACCACCAGCCAACTCAAGGTTAGGTATTGGCGTATAACACATAATTAATCATACGTTTTTCTGTCTGGTGCTATAAAAGAATCTCTAAACGCAACACTACTTGATCATATGGAATCGAGGTGTGGTAGCCTATTCTGATATCATGATCAGCTGAACGTATAGCTGGTGCAACTAAGGTTCTATCACAAGTGATATATAAATGGGCTAGGTGAAGGTTAATGGTAGAAAGGTTGTTTTGCATATATAATGAGATGAAGAAAAGGAATGATATTGTTGAGACATCATAAGGCAATTTTGCATTAGATAATATGAGAGATATGGTAGCAGCAAAGAGAGCATATGCAACTAGATTTCATCGAAACCATCACTATATCCTTTCTCTTTTCCCCCTATCTTCTCTCCCTCTCTTTCTCGATACACTACATCTCTCTCTCCCATCACTCTATCCCCTATTCCCCGCCCTCCCCCTCTCTCCCTGAGGTGGATTCCGTTTTTTGTATGCATAGCAGCTGAATGGTTTTTATTTTTTGTCATGGTTTGTATTTGAGTGTTTTTGGGTTTTGTTTTTGTTAATTTAGGGGTTTTGTATTTCTGTTCAGTGGGTATAGCTTGACTGACTGGTTTTTCTTTCTTTCTTTTTTTCTTGTTTTGTTTCTAAGATTGGACGTCAGTGGTAGTGGGAATAGCTCCGATAGAAGCCACTGGAAGGACGCCAGTGGTAGTGAGAATAGCTTCGATGGAAGCCAGTGGAAGGACGCCAGTGAACACCTTTCATGTGCTTGCATTTATTGTTGACAAAGAGCCATATCTTTTTATGCCAGATTTTGATGGATCTCTTGTTGGAGGTTTAATGCTTTGCTAATTTTATCGATTGCAATTTATAAAGCATTTTGAAACCACTTTCCTTTTCCTTTGATTTCTCATAATTCTTTTCTTTTTTTTTAATAAACTGACCCTCTCTAAATCTTCAACAAAAATGGAAAGTTTGAAAAAAAATCTTCAACAATCTGACTTTGCTTTTGTTTCAAACAATTCCTCCTGCTACCTAAGGTAGCCAACTCAGTACATTGATAATTATTAGTAATATTACTAATTAGTGTTTTTTAGAAATAATTATCACAACCTTTATTATATAACTCTCAAAAAGTTACAGTAAATTATTCATAGTAATTGTTTAATTAACAAAACCATTATTATATTACTCCATAAATATGATAGATTATCCATAGTAATTATTTAATTCATTAATAAATATAAAAAAAATTATCAAATCAGTTAATAACATTAAATATTTTTTTATATTTAATATTATTCAAAAAATTAATAGTCGAATTAGTCTAGTGAATAATTATTGATAATTTGATATTTCAAAAATTATCAAAATAGTTAATAACATTCAATATTTCTGATAATTAATATTATTCAAAAAAACTAACAGTTAAATTAGTTTAGTGAATAATTATTGATAATTTGCTATTTCTTGACATTCTAGTACAAATGTTTTACAATTTCTGAAAAATATTACAGTAACTACTAATTAATAATTACTTCTGAAATAATTAACAGTAATTAACAAAAATTATTAATTACTAATAAATATCAAATAATATAACTAAAATGCATTACCACTGTTGGTTAATTACCCCCATAACAATCTTTCTTACAAATTAACACTATTCAATCAAACTATTCTTATTAAATTCAACTTTATCTCGATGTGTAATTCGCTATAAATTTTCTTTTTTCAAAATGACATGCTTTTCTTAATGAATATTATTACGTTTACTTAGCACTTACAAATTTAATTGGCACATGCTTAGCACGGCCCCCCTCCGCTAGTAATTATATTAGACAAGATGAGAGAAACCTTGGTAGAAAATTAAGGCCCTGTT